GGTACAAATCAGGGGCGCTCGGCAGCTCCCGTTACCTGGGAGGCGCTCTGCACAACAGGCTGCCCGGCCATGCGCCCGCCGTTCCCGCAACGGTCAGTCCCTCTGTCCATCCCCCAACAAGTCCTGGCTCCCTGCCCCGTGCCGTAGCTCGCGCCGCGCCGTTCCACTCCTGCAAACCGCTGTGACGCTTGAAACCCCCAGGCACGAACACTGCGGCAACCTCCTACACCCCCGCCCAAAAAGGACATCGGTCCCCACCTGGCACCACTTGTAGACGAGCAGCGGCGGCGGCTCGCTGTCGGCGGGCTTGACCCAGTTGGGGAACAGGTGCCTCTTGTCGGCCTCGAACCAGAGGTACTGGTCCAGGTAGCAGTCCGTGATCTTCTCCAGCGGCTCGATCTCGTAGACAGGGATCAGGTGGCTGTACATGTCCATGAACTCGATGGCCACCTGGGGGAGGGGCGGGTGCCGGATGCAGCAGAGGAGCGGTGCAATTGGCCGCGATTGGCAGTGGGTTTGCAGTCGTGTTGAGATGAGGATGGGATGAGAATGGGGTGGGCTCGATTCACGGTGAGAGCGATTTCAAGGCGTAATATGGCTGCACGAAAGAAACAGCCGCAGGCAGGGCGCCGGGGGGCCGGGACGCCTGCGGGGCGGTTAGGACGCGGCGGGGCAATCGGGGGGCGCTTCCCGCACCTCCTTGAAGTGCCGGTTGGTGAGCAGGTGGCGCTTGATGCGCTGCAGCGCCTCGTGCGGGTTGTCATACGCCTGCTCCACCAGCCCCAGCTCCTCGCGCTGCTGCTGGTTGAGCCGCACCGCCGCCACGTACTGCTCCTTGAGGCGCTCCAGGGCCAGGATGAGCAGCTTGGTGTCGTGCTTGTAGTTCAGCGGCGGGAACGGGATGGGCGTGAACCTGGGGGGCGATGATAGACGACATGAATGGTAGGGTGGTGCGGTGCAAGCTAGCTGTGAAAAGTGGGTCCAAGCGGAGCTACCGCGGGCTGCGGTTGCGTGCTGGACAACAAGAACGGAGTGAGGTCCCCAAGAGGGTTAGGGGGGGAATGGCCAGCAGGCGCCGGGACTACAGGGCCCAGCAGCTGAGGCGCTGTGGAGC